ATTTAGAGTCAATTTACTGATAGACCACTACATATCCACATCCATCTATACTTACACCCACCCACATCCATATTTACAAGATGATCGGAGAAGCTAAGTATATCAGGTTGGAGTCTGTCGAAAACTCTACAAAATCGTATGTGAGAAAACATATTTTACAAATACTTTCGATTAATATCAAGGACCACAATATTCATTAACTTATCATGCTTGAGGTGAGGACGCGGATATGGTTGAGTGTGGATGTATAGTTGTCTATCAGTAAATTGACTCTAAATTCTTTCAAAGTCTTATAAAAACAGAATTTACTATATACCATTCGATGCGCCTCGAAAAGCTCTACAAAATGGTATATTTGGTTTCTCATTTCTGAATAAGTCACCTTATCCGACAAGATCCTTTGAACGCCGTGGCCAGAACTTTTGGTTCGCCCCTAGTAATTGACCATAAATAAGTTTTATGAGTAATTTCTTTTAATTAACTCGACTAGCTACAGTTTAATTCAAATAAATTTGAGTTGATCGAACAGTTTTAGTTTTAGGAGTTGAACTAAACTATCACATACTTAAATATAGCTTCGCTTAATTAAGGGACCCCCCCCCTCTCAGAAACGATTTCTCACCTAAAACGGACCATTCGGGCTGAAACTTTCAGGAACACGTGGTCCTGGTGAGATATGCTTGTGATAAAAATTTCAGCTCGATACACCCGAGTAGATCGAACTTACGGCCTGTTTTCATACTCCCAGGAGAATGGGAATCACTCAGTCGTAGTAAAGGCTAAAGAGCTCGGAGTGGCGTCAAATTAAAGCTGGTCTCTGTGCGCAACTTTTCATCAGACGGATTTTTGAAACCCCTTTCCATTCATTTTTTATGACCATTTTACTGGGCAGGTCTGAAAAACACGTCACTCGAACGACAGTAAATTCCACTTTTCTCAGCCCAGGAGAAATGTATCAAAAATCCGTCTGATGAAAAATTAGCCCGGATTCAGAGCTTCAAAACAAAAAAAAATATTGAATAATACTCAAGGCCGGGATGGAGTGATTTCAATTTTCCTGCTGAGAAACTATATTCTGAGAAAAATGCTAAAAAATTTTTAGAAATGGATTTTTTCATTCAAATCCAGAGCAAGCCATATTACAATGGTCTATTCCATTGCACCATTTTAAAGGACGTAAAATATGAAGGTAGCTAGCGTTATCTAACGTGCTGGTTCATATAAAAATATTCTATTCAATAATAATGCAAGTGGGAGCGCAATTTTCCTGAAACTGAAAACCTTGAAAAACCATGGAAATTTCTCCGAAAACATGGTAGTGGATTTAAAGTTTCATGCGATAGGTCTTTGAATATCTGATCATTTTCCAAAAAACTATACATATTCTGAAAGAGGAAGCTTCGCTGCATCTTTCTATGATAAAAGCTCAACTTCGATATTTTCCTGAGAAACTTGATTTTCTAAGGAGGAGGGGCCCCCTTAAATTTGTATAAAGTTTCAAGAGATAAAAAGAAAATGATAGTAATTAATATTTACCCATATAAACAGTAATCGAAGAGACATTCGGAAATGTTTCATCAAGTTGCTTAAGAAATATATACAGTGATGGATTAAAATCAATCGAAATATGGTGAATATTTGGCCATTGAAAAACATACGGTTCATTACTAAAATTCGAAAAAAAAACGTTATTCTATTGAGAACCCATAGAATATCTCACAAAAAGCATATATCTTACACTAAACCATTAAAGGTTTGAAGTGTCATATTGATATTTGTAGAAAACAAGTGTTGATATGATACTATTGGATCATAAAAACATTTTATATTTGTCCATTGGCGATTAATAAAAAGAGAATGATATCGAAATGAATTAATTACTTTTTCAACATCAATTGATAATAATTGACAATAAAAACATATATAAAGATCAAAATCTATTATATTATTTATAATATCAGGTAAACAATATTGTTGAACAAAATTTGCATCAATATAAGATTTCCATATTATTTGATCTGTTCGACACAGGTTTTCACTTCCCAGGCGAAGTTTCAGTTTTTGAACATGATTTAAATTATTAAGAAGCCATTTCAGATAAACAAATTGCACATCATTTAAAATGAAAGTTTTTAAAGTAAAATGTCGTAGATTTGGTAGCTATTGTCAAAAACAAAAATACATTTTAATTCTTTAATAATAACAATAGAATATACAAAGAAATCATTTAACTTTTTCAATATATTGATCATATCAAAAATGAATATGATAAGGAGAAATCGAAATCTATGATAAGTAATCTCGTTTAATACTGATACTCTTAAATATTTTCTCGATGAGATAATAAATCTAAATCAAGTATAATGAAAATTTTTTTCAAAGAATTGATCCTAATAAAGACATATAATTACATAGCTCATGCAAAACATCTTATCCATAAATATCATATCTATCTATAATCCTTGACACAAAATGCGAGTGAGTGAAAGAATAAATGATTGTGGTTGTCTCCTCTTTGTATGGTTGAAAGCTTTTCAAAACGATTTTCTATCTTCTGTCTTCAAATTTTTCACTCTAACAAACAATATTTAAAGGAAATAAACTCTAGTAAAATATTTTCAAGTTCAAAAAAAAAATGTTCTACAATAAAATAATGAATGAAATAAACAACTCATTAGAAAATTAGTGATACATGACAATTCATCTTTCAACCAGAATTTTTATCAAAACAACGAGACTAAAATTTTTTTTTCTTACTTTATTATACCAATTTCCATTTGATTGACACAAATTTTCAATTAGTAATTCAGATCGTGGATAAATATTTAATGTTTTATTAAATTCTACTGACAGTTGTTTAAGAGCAGGTATGTGTTCAATAAGACATTCAAGAAAATACGTGTATTTTATCCGAATATATAAACGAGAAAGCGTCATGCAATGAAACTGAAATTGGTTTGAAATTCGGTTTTGATATGAATGAGAGAATAGTTTTATACTCTGATCAATATTATAACTGCCAATATCAAGTCGAAGAGAATTTAATTGACATTGACATGAGAATAATTGATGTAGCAAATGTTTGAACATGTTCAGTAGTTTTCCTATAATTTGTCAATAGAAAATAATCATTACCAAGAAAATAGAAATTTTTCATTTTACTAAATTCTTTTTTTAATGTTTACACGGGAAAAAAAACTTCATCTATTTTTCAAATCAAATGTTTTCTTATCTATGAATAACTCGTTTTAAGCATTTTCCATTAAATGAAAGTTATTTTTGAAAATTATGATTCTCCATGAATGAATCTACCAAAATTCAAAAAACTTAAATTAAACCAACGAGAAATCAATTACATAACTATTACTATAATTTTCGATCGTTAATACTACATTTTACTCAGTAAAACTATATCTTTAGACATACATGTAAATCTACAGCATAAAATACATAACCTACCCAGGCAAGCAAAGGACGGGTAAAAAGACTAGTCATTTTTCTAGTCGTGACTATGCGTCATGTCTAGTCTTTTTCCCAAAAAGTCCTACTACATGACTAGTCCAAAATGGTTTGGAATCTTTAACCCCGTCTGGGCATTTCGTTCGAAAATAGATTTTAAATTAAAAAAAGCAGAGCGCCTGTGACGCGACATCTATTAGGTTTCAGTCTTATGTAGCGGTCTAGTTCGGACTAGTCTAGATGATAGAAATATGTGCAGAAAGTTAGATTCGTACATGCATACCTTGTGTTACTTACTCGTCGTCTACCCGATTGAGCCATATGATCTAGTGATCAACTTTTACATGTCAATACACATCTGAAGACACTAATTACTACAGTTTGACTCAACGTTTTCTCAAGTTTTAATATTTATAGAAACTACTTGTAATAAAATCGAAAATTAGTTAAATATAGCTAAGCAAAATTAATTCAGAATTTTTTTAATTTCCTTCAACAGAATTTTTTTTTTGATTATCGACATTTGGAAAAAGTTATTTTCTATTGGAAAAAAAAATTAAATTCAAATCAAAATCAAAATAATAATATACATTTCAAAAAAAGATCTTGCTTTTCATCTAATGGTTTATGTTTATCTTAATTTAAAATATTTCCTATTTAAATTTGAAAATGAACTATGATTCTACCGTTTAAATCCATTTTGAAATTCAAATCATTAGGCTTTCTGTTGAAATAAAATAATATCCTCATATCAATGCATTAAAATTAATTTTTCGAATAGAATTATTCTTGATTGTTATTACAATTTAAAAATTTAAAAGGACATAAATAGCCAACTCTCGTTAGATACATCGTTCTAGTCCCAATACAAACTAGTCTAAATGAATTGTCCGAATGATTAAGTCCAAGCAATAAAGACTGTTTGGAAGGATAGACTAGCCTGGACCAGAATTAGCATTACTTTCTCGAAAACGACTAGTCATGACCAATATAGATGACTCTTCATACTAGTCCGCGTTACCTACTGAAAACAGTTCAGACTAGTCAGGTATCCAATATTGTTGGCTTGAACGTTCGAATCCACCTATCGCCTCCGTTTCTTCTAGTTTTCGCCTTCAAGTTGACGCGTCTGGACAGTATGCACATACAAAACGGACTAGCCATGACAAGATTAGAGCATGTTTTGGACTAGTCTATTTTAGATGCAAGACGTTCCTCGTGAAGGCGACTAGTCCTGACTAACTGCAAATCATTTCAGACTAGTCCAAAGGGCAGTGCAGAAATTTTAGACTAGTCCAGACGGGTACTACGGACAATTTAGACTAGTCATGCCGGGCGTCACCCCTTATTTTTTGCTCGCCTGGGTACCTTCTTTTTTTCGAAAAATTTTCAAGATCTTTGACAACCCCTATTCGAAAAACCAGCAGTTTTTGAAAAAATCCAAAGATTTTTTCTTTTTTTCTCAAAGTTGTAGTCGAACGACGCATTTCCACCAAAAGTCAACTATAATGCGATATAAACTCAAATATTTTTTTTTGTTTGAAAGAGCATCAAAAACTGCAGTGCCTATCAATGATGGGATCGATTCGTGTTTTTTTCGAATCGAACCGAATCAAACCGAAAAAGTTTTAAACCGAACCGGACAGAACCAACCGACTTTTTAAAAATTAAAAACCGAACCGAACGAAATTCTAATGTCCGAAATATCGAAGAAAGATTAAAATATATTTAGAGTATTCGTTTCTTTCTTAAAACGATATTTCGTGTGCATGTTCTATAAATATATATTTATTTATTTATATACATAAAGTTAAAAAAAAAACTTTACAATTATTTAAAAAAGTGACAACAACGATACAATTTTTTTTATTTTTTGTTATTTGTGTTACTAAATCTTTGTTTATATTTAATGAATAAATGATTAAAAACAATATCGTTAACTGTATCTGGTGATAATCTTGCACGCTTTTGCGTGATAACGTTACCAGCAAAACTGAATTCACGCTCCACGGCTGCGCTAGTAGCTGGTACACCTAAAACTCGCGCAGCAACCTTTGCCAAAATAGGATAAGTACTTTCTTTTTTTTTCCAAAATGATAGAGGATTAAATTCTTTGTTTTCTTGATCATAATCTGTTGTTATTATCGTTTTATCTAAACCATGTTTTAAATATAATTCGATTTCATTCATGTGTGATGCAGCTTTTGATGAACATTGTTGATCAACATAATCTTCATCATCATTTTCTGTATTTAAGTAAAATTCTGTCATATATGTATATGAGGTGTTTGCCAAACATTGTTTCTTTTTTGGAGGTGATTGAGCAGATTGATCAATATCCATAATAAGCATTTCCTGCTTAACATATTCGATGCATTCTTCTTGTTGTCTTGTTGACAAATGCTTCATTTTTCTGATTTTAGGATTAAAGAAAGTTCCCATAAGATGTATGGCATGAAAAGAATTTTTTTCTTTTATAGATTGTTTCGCTCGTTGACGAAAAAACATCATCCCTGTAAAAAATAGACAAAATTATTTATCAAATCAATAATTCATTATGCATTCATTATCAATGATAATCGACTACATGATAAACTTAGTAAATATGTACCACGTGGTAGTCAATCTCATCTACGACAAATAGCTAGTGCAACATTTATTTCAGAATGCTGGCCTGATGATCGACTATTTATAACTCTTAGAGAAAAATATGTAAGTTATCATCTTTTCTTTAAGTTTTATTAGTCATTTCAATTGTAAACTGTTTACTTAATCAACCTGACTAATTTCTTTTTTAGTGGAAAAAACCGAAAGATCAATAACATCTATTCTACACATTACCGTGGACGTTTAATGAATTTTTTCAATTATGTGTTCCAGATAGATACATTAGTTAATTACAAGTATTTTCTCCGACTAATACAATTGGTTCTTCTCGTCTTGTTAAATTGAATATGTCAGATAATATTTCATCGTTTGCTGCTTTTCTTTCTCATGTAATATCTTCGAATCGAATAGTCGAACTTCATTTATTTCGATGTGATAGACAAATTTCTCTCAATTTACCTATGGTTACTCATCTTACTCTTATAGACAGTCTTGATGCATTAAATGCTCGTTCACTTTCAACAAATATTCGATCTATTCAAATTATTCTTCATCATGAATGTCTTGATTTTGCAAGTGGCAATTGGACAGCTTTACGTGTACTCTCAACTTTACCGCTGTTAAACTCATTACGGGTGCTTTTGTATAATATGCTTAATCCACCAGATGATACAAGTTGTAAAGTTATTGCTGAAACAGCTATGACAGTCGCTGACTTTGGCTTCTGCTTTAGACGTAATCATTATCATTATGCTGAACTTAATCATGACATTGATTTAGTTTATATGAAACATTCTTTATTCATTGAACGTCTACGAAATTCTATTGTTACTTTGTCACAAAATGAAGAGCTATATATCGTTGTTGACGAGGATGGTTGTGGAATTTTCATATGGTTTTGACTAATACATGAATATATAAAAGAAATTATGTTCATCAATTCAAACTATTATATTATATGGTCAGATGTTACATGAAACACTAAAGAATGGTTTGTTCTTGCAAGAAATTATTATTTTTTTGTTAGATCATTAGATTTCATCATTTATCTCTTTCTCTCGCTTGTTATTTATTAAATATCTTCGAGTTGATAAAAAAAAACTTTCAGGTGTTTCTTTTTACGTAAAAAAAATAAAAATTTAATGTTCATGATTATGGGTGTCAGCGTTCCCCGTTCCTAGGAACGGGAACGCTTGTCAAAATCGCATTTTCACGTTATATTTCTACATGGCGAGGTCTCTAGACATATTCACTTTTCTTTTTATGTTTGAGTGTTCAGCGTTCCCAGGAACGGGAACGGAATGCGGAGGAACGGGGCACGTTGACATCCCTAATTTTTATGAAATTGGCTTTCCTTCGGTGAATTAGTAAAATTTCTGTTAAAAGTGAAAGAAACGTATGTTGCGTTCCAGTTTCTAGGAACGGAACGCTGAGGAACGGGGTAGCGTTCCCCGTTCCCAGGAACAGGAACCGGGTAGCGTTCCCCGTTCCTAGGAACGGAACGCAAAGTTGACACCCCTAAATGATTCATGATTGTATAAAATCAATTCTAAAAATAAAAAAATAAAAAATATTGTAAATAAAAATTTTTTCTTGTACTTTATGTTCTTGTTCATGGTTAATAGTATGTTTTTCACGTATCTTAGTTTGGCCTGACTATAATTAATGAAGCTACTTGGTTTAATACGAACAACTTGAACATTTTCGACAATAACTGCACATCGTAAATGAGATAACTAAAATGATATACAATAAAGGATATTTTAAAGTTTATATTCCTCTTACTTTATCATCAATTTCTATAGCATAATCATTTTCTCTGAGTAAATGACGACAACAATCTGGTAGTGTTTCTTTAATCATTTGTGCTAAATGACCTATAATGAAAAGAATTTGGATTAACATTTTTTTTGTTTTAAAGATTATATTTGATTCTTTACCAATTTTTAAATGTAAATGTTCACCTTCATTTATTGTTGTTGCACTATTAATTGTAGTTGATGAATTTTTATTAAGATAATTTTCTGAATCTTCTTTAGCATCATCAACTTGTTTCATATTATCTTCAAATTGAATTTTGCATTCATTACACATATGTAAATCGTTTTGTACAGCACACTTGCCACATATAATACACATAACGGCTTCGACCATATTACGTTTGTTTACTGTGTAGCTTTTTTATACATGATCGGTGTGATCTGACAAGTACACACCCTGGACATGTGTCTATTGTAAGTAGCTAAAAAAAATAGAAATATCAAGAGAACGCAAAAGAATAGGATATTGTGTGTGCAAAGATAAAGTAGAAATTTCTAGAAATAAAATCGAAACATGCAGATTATAGTCGACCTTTTTCTACTTATACTAACTTGAAATGTTTATATTATTATGAACTACCTCGAATCACGTTTAGATTGTTTTAATATGAGTGTGCTTTGAACTGCATATGTATCGCCTTAACAATGAATCATTCTCTATAAAATTCAAATATTCATTTTAAAACTTTTCTTTTATGAAAACAAGACTAATTTAATTCGTAGTCGTACACATTGACTAAAAGAGATAAGAATAAACAACGAAATACTTTTTTCTCTGTCGAATATTTTATTTACTTTGTTTATGTGAGTAATTTATTTTCTAGTCAGATTTATTCTTATATTTCTATGTAGTAAAGAATGAAGACGAAATAAAAGTTGTTATGATAATCACAGTACCTATACAGAATCATTTATCCCATTGGTCAAAATGAGTTTTGTGATATAGAAGTATATGATGAATGAAAACAAAAAAATAAAATAGTATTTGTTTGTGAAAAATGCCATTTGAAATAGCACATGTTTTGAGAAAAGATATATTTATGACAACAATTAAATAGACTATATAAGTAACTTAAATTGATGTCAATGATAATTATGCATAAATTTTGTGTCGATTCAAGCTGTATAAAACTTGATTCGTTTAAACATTTTATTATTAACTTGATCATGTTCTTTTTTTTTTCTCAATGAAAACTAAATTATTTGTAATTAATTATAATGAATAAATGTCAAATTAAACAATGAATTGTCTAAAAAAGAGTTTTAATTTGATATATTATGTACAGTTATATAATCTCGATGTCAATCGATGAAATATTTGTTTCATTTTTTTTTGAAATATCAAGTTATGTCTAAAATAGTAGGAACAAATATATTGTACTATCACCTATTATTTATTTAAAAGATCTGAAATTTGATATTCAAATAGAAGCACTCATTATGCTAACTATTTAAGTAATTGAAATTTCGAAACAAGAGACAGTTTTGTCTTGGTTTGCACAAAAAATGATTGATTAATCAAAGGTGAACATGATAGACGGTTATTCGTATAAGAATATTTTTTATGATATTAAAAAGTGTAAAAGAACTTTTCTCTTTCAAAAAGTTTAAGTTTTTCTCAAATCATAAAATATATAAATTAGTCAAAGACGTTCTCGAAGTTTCAAATAGTGATTCATAGAAAAAAGATTTTGCTAATCTTTTTTACAGTAAGTGTTCGAAGTAGTCCCCATAATGGTCAATACAAAATTTCATCTTTTCAATCCACTTCTGGAATGTCTTTTGGTACTATTGAATAGGTATTAAATTGAACTCCTAGATTATTGCTTTAACTAAGCGTATAACATGTGAATATGTCTCAAGGCAATGTTTCAGACAACTGAACAACTAAAGATCTGAAAGAGCAAAGGCATATGTGCGTGATGGATGAATCATAACTTACGAGGGAACATTGCCAAATAATTCGCACCATTCGCACTGATATTTTGTTGGTAACTAGGATTGATTATGTATATAAATTATCTAAAAGGTTTCGAATGCCATTGCTATTCGGTATCAGAGTTATGAGCAGAATAAGTAGCATGATAGATGGCACTACCTTTTCTCTCTTCGTTTTTTTTAGTTGAACGTATCATTTGGCCAAACTTTGTGTTGATATTCATCATATTAATTACATAAACATAATGTTGACAGAG